CGGGACCCCAGGGGCCGACCCCAGCGCGTCTGCGGCGGCGGGGATGGAGCCTCGGCCGGCCGGGGTGTCTTCCGGCCTGTGGTGGCTTGCATGTGCCGAAAGGCCTTTGATTGACCGAGGGGTAAGATGGAGTCGGGTGATGGGCTGGGGTGGTCTGGAGAGGGGGAGGCCTGGGTCACCGCCCCATCGCTCTCTTGGCAGAGACAGGCTCTTTGAATCGAAGTGTCTGTGTGTTTCCAAGGGGCAGTCGGACTAGATGAGGAGGGGCCCGGTAGCCACCACTCGCTGAACATCGACAGCCTTTGATCCGGGTCGTGGTGTTTCATTCACACGCCGAGGACACACCTGGGCCATCGACAGTGTTACCAGACAGCTGCTGTGGGGGTGCTGGAGATGACACTGATGACCGGAGCGCGCACAGGGAAACGAGGGATGGAACAGCCAACAGGGGACATGTCCGAAGCCTTTGCAAATGTAGAAGGTGTCTGGATAATTCCTTTCCCTTCAAGCAGGTGTTCCTGATGAGGTGTGCACCATTCGGTGGTGTCGGTGGATATTTGGCGACTACTGCATCACCAAGTGTTTTTGAGAAGCTGAGCTCCTAGCCTTCTTCATAACTAGGAAACTGCAAAAAATATTGCTTTTATAAAGTCTGTAAAATACAAGACTTAACGAATCAAGAATTCTTGTACAAACAAAGCCCCAATGAGAATCTAAGTGAGAATGTTTGACTTATTTTATGACGTTTACTGTACAACGGGTTGCAGCATTTCCTGCAAAGAATTTGATTATATTGTCATTAATTTCAGTGTTTGGAAGGGGTCTTTTTTGTTTGTTTATTTTGGTTTTCTCTTTACCTCTTCTCTTTCAGCCCCAACTCCCCACCCCAGCATTAGGTGGCAGAAATGATAAGAAAAAGCTTTTGCTTAAATACCTGAAGAGAATAGTCCCCAAATGTTGACACTCCCGCTAAGAGAACCAGAAGACAAAAGACACTGGATTTAATAGGATGGATTTAGAGTAGCTAGGGGAAAAACGATATTAAGATTATGGAGCTAACAGAGTATGTCCTGCCCAGAAAGTTGCTGAAAGGCTAAGGGGGGGGTGAATACAAATGGCTACTTATCCTTAGTGCTTGGGACAGTGATTGCTTGGATGGGTCAGCAGAGGAGGATGAGGGGAAGTGGCCAGGAGTGAAACTGTAGATAATGCAGTTTCTACAGGAGAAAATGCAGATAAAAGGAATGCTAGTAGTTCCCTTAGCTTGGTGTCCTGGAAGAGCTTTTGGAAAGTGGGGAAGAGTGAAAATGGAAGGAAACAAGGGAGCAGATAACCCAGTGGCCTCTCCTGCTCTTAATCCTGGCTTCATATAACAGGATATAATGTGTCTCAGACCGACAAACACTTCACCAGACTTTTTTTTTTTTTTTTTTGAGTGGGAGCCTCACTCCGTCACCCAGGCTGGAGTTCAGTGGCACACTCATGACCATCCCAGCATCAACCTGCTGGGCTCCGGTGATCCTTCCACCTCTGCCTTCCCAGTAGCCAGAACTACAAGTGTGCGTTACCATCCTGGCTAATCTTTTTTTTTAATCGTAGAGACGAAGTCCTGCCAAGTTGCTCGGGTTGGTCTTGAACTCGCGGGCTTAGGCAATCCACTCACCTCGGCCTCCCAAAGTACTGGGATTACATACAGACTGAGCCTCTGAGCCTGGTCGACTTCTCTAGACTTAAAAAAGTATTAAAAAATCCTTTGTACACCTCACTGGTTAAAGGATGAAAATTATTTATTTATTTATTTATTTATTTATTTATTTATTTTTTTTTTTTTGAGTTGGAGTCTCACTCTGTCGCCCAGACTGGAGTGCAGTGGCTGCTCCCGGCCACCGCAGCCTCGACCCGCTGGGCTCCGGCGATCCTTCCGCCTCAGCCTTCCAAGTAGCTGGAATTATAGGCACGCACTACCATGCCAGGCTGATTTTTTGATTTATTGTAGAGATGAAGTGTCTCCAAGTTGTCCAGGCAGGTCTCGAACCCGCGGGCTCAGGCAATCCACTCACCTCAGCCTCCCAAAGGCGCGGAAATTTAATGAACCATTTTACCAAACTAAACTTGAAGCACCATCTACAAAGTATGTATTATACAAAGTAATAAGATAATTGCAATCACTCGTGGTATATATCTGGGCTAGAATTTAAAAAAAACAATGAATATGATTTCCCAAAGCCTGGAAACACAAACATCCTTCAACTCGTGAGAAGATAAGTGAACTATAGTTCATCCACACAATGAAATGCTACTCAGCATTCAAACTGTGACATGGACGAATCTCAAATGCATTGCTCGGAGAGAAAGAAGCCAGCCTCAAAAGGCAGCATATTGTCTGATTCCTTCTGAATGATATCCCCAAAAAGGCAAAAGTATAGCAGCAAGAACATAGATCAGTGGTTGCCAGGGTCCAGGGAGAGAAAAATGTCAACTACAAAAGGCATAAAAGAAAAGTTTAGAAATAATGGAACTTTTCTATATCTTGACTGTAGTGGTGGTGATTTGACCATATTTGTTCATCAAAACTCATAGTACTATACTCCAATAAAGGTAAAGTGTTTATATGTGAATTATGCCTCAATTAAAAAATGTGAAAAAAAACAGTGCGTATGGTAATGATTTTTTAAAATAAATTTATCAAAAAAATACAATTATGAAGGGGAATTTTTTTTTTTTTTTTAGGTAATAATTCATCATTGATCAAGATGCCTTCAGCACCTGAGCCTACAGCATTTAAAAAGGAACCACCCAAAGAGAAAGACTTTCAAAACCCAGGGCTCAGAGGGGTGCGCACAACGACCTTATTTCGAGCTGTGAATCCAGAGCTCTTCATTAAACCTGTAAGAAATGCATTCAAGATAAAATGTTATATTTGATCTAACCAGGCTGTGAAAAATAGCAAGTTCTAATTTACTTGTAACATTTGATTTTATCATGGAAATTTTATGTTGACTAATAAGACTGCTCTGTGAATAAAAGGAAGCAGAAGGAAAATTTTAAATGCAGAAGGTTTATGGCCCTGTGGATTTCCAGACTCCACCTCGTAAGACATTTGTCTCTCTTCCCTGAAGTCTGTCACATACAGGACTTCATCTACATATCAGCACACCTGGAATCTTTCCACCTTTTGTCTCAGCAAAACATCTTATCCTGGTAAGACCTACATATTACCAGTCGAGAAATATTTGAACCCACTAGTAACCCACAAGCCCCCACTTGGAAATGTCCCTCCTTCCTGGGCCAAACCAATGAGAATCCCCCATGTATTGATTTATGGTTTTTGTTACTTTGCCACCCTAAAGCTATATATCGGCAAGCTGTCATTTGGCCACAGTGGGCACACGTTCTCAGGACCTCCTGAAGACGGGTGTACCTGGGCTTATGTCCTCGTGTTTGGCTCAAGAATAAACTGTCTTAAAATATTTTACAGAGTTTGAGATCGATCTCATCACATATGAATACACACATAAAATTAAATATTGGGGGCATTTGAGAGTTATGATGGAATATGATTACATTAATAGCTTAGCTTCTCAAAGTACTATTTTTAATAATTGCATTAATTTGCAGGCAGTTTTTATTTTTTGACCAGGTACTATTAGATAAATAAGACTTTACAATTGAACAAAGAAATTAAATGAAAATCTAGTCATAGACTCCAAATCCAGGCTTTATTATCTAAGTAATATTACAGATACTTTGTGAAGAATTCTAAAACATACATTTCTACACTGGTAGAGAGATAACTAATCTTTTTTTTTTTTGCAAATTAGTGAATGTTTTATTTGATGAATTTTAACTAGCTGTAAATTCTGTTTTTAATAAATATAAATTATATTTTTAAATAAATGCAAATAAAATCATTATAAAATATGATAAATATTTAAGTGTATTGATTCTGATTAGAATTTTAGTAACTTAATTGCCACTGTAAACTCTTTTAAATAGGTCAGTTTAACCAAATTATTAAGTCAAGATAAGAATTTTTTTTTAATTTTGAAATAATTTGTTATTTTAATTGCTAAAAGCATTTCAGGATTTGCAGATTTAAACTGCTCTGAGCTTGTGGCCTTTGGTTCATCCAGGTGAAAAAGTTTAACCCTTATTCTTTGTGATTAAGATTTGAAATAGAAATATCAACCTAAAAGAAGAAATGGAGGCAAATTAATATAGATAGAGAGTTTATTTGGGCCAAGGTTGAGAACTGCAGACAGGGAAACACTTCCAAGTAACTTGCTCTGGAGGACAAAGAAGAGGCTTGAGTTTTTAAAGGAAAAAAAGGATAAATCAGGAGAGGGAGTGATTACAAAAGTTTTTTTTTAAGAATCCTCATTGGTTTATAGAAATGACACCGATTAGTTGGCTATACATTGTTGAACTATAAGGTATGAGCTATGGTGTCCAGCATATAGCATTGTTAGGTTAATTTACAGCTATTTGTGACATCAGTTATTCTAAAGCTCACATGGCAAACAGCTTCAAAATGGTTGCTTAGCTTAAGACTGGGGTAGAATGTGACTGTAACATTCCTGTGATATAGATTTACACTGACCCTAACAAAGACTTATTTGTTGTCTATGAACATGCAAAAAGGAGAGTCTGAATTAGAGTTTCAGAAGTCAGAAGTGTGACAGACAAAACACTTATCTGGAATTGTGAACATCTTTGCTGTAGTTAAAAGCTTTTTTTTTTTTTGAGTCAGAGTCTCTCTCTGTCACCCAGGCTAGAGTGCAGTAGCATAATCATGGCTCACTGCAGCCTCAACCTTCTGGGCTCAAGCAAGCCTTCCATCTCAACCTCTCTAGTAGCTGGGAGTATAGATACGGCTAATTTTTTTTCCTTTTTTGTACAGATGAGATCTATCTTGCTGTGTTGCCCAGCCTGGTATCAAACACCTGGCCTCAAGGGCACCTTGGTCTCTCACAGTGCCGAGATTATAGGCATGAGTCACCCTACCTAGCCAAAAGCTTTGAAAATTCAGAGCTGCATTATTTTGCCTCTTAGGATCTTGGGTTTTCCAGCAGTAAATCAAGGTTAACAACATAATGTCTGTTCCAGTCCAGGTGCTAAATTTATTGAGGTAATAGAGTAGGTTCCCAGAGAAGAGTATGTACAAGGGGGACAAAAATTAAAAACCTGGAATTATATTTTAGAGGGTGGGCTCCTTGTAGTACACTCAGAATTCGTTCCTCTGAATCAAAAGTCAACCAAAGTTTTTATCTGGAAGTTTGAGAAGGTTGCATCACAATTTGTGGAAGAAACATCCCGAGTTGTGGCAGACAGACAGGTGACTGGTTACTCCACCATGACAACGTACCAGCCCACACTGCACTGAATGTTCAGCAGTTTTTGACCCAAAAAATAGCATGTCCCCAGTGCTGTATGCTTCCTATTCACCCGATCTCACCATAGCGACTTCGTTGTACCGGATGAAAAAGGTCCTCATAGGGAAACGTTTTGCCAGTGTGGGAAAGGTGAAACAAAAAATGACAGAAGCACTAAAAGACATCAAAATTGATGAGTTCAGAAACGCTTTTGAGCAGTGGGGAAAACGTCTGAATAGGTATATGGCATCAAACAGAGAGTACTTTGAGGGTCACTGGTGTTTAAACATGTATGAATAAATATACAATTTTTAGCTCAGGTAGTTCACACCTGCAATCCCAGCACTTTGGGAGGTGGAGGCAAGAGGATTGCCTGAGTCCAGGGATTCAAGACCAGCTTGGGCAGTTTGATGAAACCTCGTCTCTACAATAAACCAAAAAATTAGCCAGGAGTGGTGGTACACATCTGTCGTTCCAGCTACTTGGAAGGCTGAAGCAGAAGGATCACCTGAACCCAGCAGGCTGAGAATGTGGTGGCCGTGAGCATGCTACTTCACTCCAGCCTGGGCAACAGAGAGAGACTCCAACTCAAATAAATAAATATGTGACTTTTAATAAATAAATTCTGGATTTTTGAGGACTTTCCCTACTACATCATCATCATTGCTGTGCCTGTTACATGAAAGACTTTTTGCTGGTTATTCACGACTTTGGCAAGAACAATAGCATGTGTACTTCATTCCTCACTTCCTAATAAAACTTCCTGGTAAACACTGAAAACTTGGAGCACTAGACCCATGTCCCTGCCTCACTCCTCTCCCAGCAGTCCCCTTCCTGAGGGTGGAGGTCTGGGGTGTCCAGGATGAAGAAAGGAGAAAGCCTGGAGAAAACAAGCAAGTCTTCTGTGACCTCTAAATAATCGGGAGTTGAGCTAATTAAATTAAAGAACTGAGTAGATGCTTATACTTGAAATATTGCTGTGGGAATGCCAGCTTGGTAATAAAGACTGGGCACATCAGAAGGAAAGTGCAAGAGGTATTGGGCTCTCCGCAAATTATGAGTCTTAATGAGTCTTTGTAACTTTTTTTCTTTGACAGAACAAACCTGTAATGGCTTTCGGATTGGTAACCCTTTCGCTCTGCGTGGCCTATATTGGTTATCTACATGCAACACAAGAGAATAAAAAGGACCTCTATGAAGCTATTGATAGTGAGGGGCACAGTTATATGAGGAGGAGAACATCCAAATGGGATTAAGAGTACTGGTTACTGCAGGTGGAGCTTATTAAGGGCTCTGAAGTCTTCAGATGACTTTATGAGTGCACAGTGGCATGTCTCTTGTTCTAGAATTTGTTAATGAGGAGAGAAGAGAGCACTTGCTACCAGACAACTGCAGTAAAGTTTGCCCTTTCACAGCCACAGCTGTCATCCCATTCTTCCACAGAAAGAGCTTTGTCATATTTTTATTTTATTAAGTCCTCTTATAAAAGTGCCATGAGAATGGAAGTTGTTTAATTATTAAGTTCTGTATAATAAAAGTACTCAGTACTGTTAAATTTGCATGGTGTTTTTAATGCTTTAAGGTGAGGTATACCTTTGCAGCTGTTACGAGATTTTTGTTGTGTTTTGCTGTTTGCAAAGGAAGTATTCATTTCTACCTAGCATAGAACCTGTATTTGTAAAGAAAGAGAAATAGTAATTTTAAAGCTGGAAGTCACATTAAAATATGAAATATGAAAAATAGTTCATATTTCAGCTCTGACAAATAGTTTTTATAGAGTCATAGTTAATATTTTTTGGTTTCCATTTCAACTATTTTCGGTCCAGCATTTTTAATTGAAAAGATAGCCCCACTCAGCTACTAAAATAAAAATTAAATAAGCAAATACCCCAAAGTAATTGGAGTTTACTTCAAAAAAAGTATGTTATATTGAGGTATGTTTTTATTTGACTGCAGCTAAATATTACCTATTTTAGTTTTTTATTTTGTTTAGACTCAGAGTCTCACTCTGTCACCCAGACTGGAGTGTAGTGGCATGCTCGTGGCCACTGTAGCCTTGACCACCTCAGTCTTCCAAGTAGCTGGAACCACAGGCACATGCCCAGTGAATTTTTGATTTGTTGTAGACAAGGTCTTGCCAATGTGCCCAGGCTGGTCTTGAACCCCTGGGCTCAGGCAATCCTCTCGCCTCCAACTCTCAAAGTGCTGGGATTACAGGTGTGAGCCACTGCACCTGGCTATTTTAGTTTTTGTAAGTTAATGTTACAGTAACATGTTTTAAGACTAAGTACTCTTAGAGTTATTTAAAAACTAGAACTACTCAATAGGTGAGACATAGATAAGGTCTCCTTACTATACCAAGCTCACATTATGTAATTTTTTTTAGATTGATATGCTAGCAAGCCTTTTTGGTTTTTCTTTTCAGATTGATTTTCTTATTCTTAAAAGTGTCGACGTTTTGAACTTTCTTTTATAAGAGTGGCAACAAGAATGTGATGAAAATGAATGTAAACAAAGCCCAGGCCTGTGGCCAGAGCCCACTGGAGGTAGCTAACAGAATGGCCGTGGCTGTCCCTACACCTGGTCCAGGAGCACAGGAGAGAGGTCCAGACTAGGTCCCTCTGTCTGACCAGATTCTACCTTACATAATTTAAATCTTTCTGCCAAGGGTTTGGACCTATTTCTTGTCTATATATTTACCTCAATCTCCAAATCATTGTAATTGGGACTCAGTAGCAAATCTCATCTCTGAAATGTTGTTTCATTTGTTATTATTAAGTAATAATAACAACACCAGCAGAGTTGTCATGATGTTATTTTTTAATTGCTAGTACTTTATTGTGGTTTTGCAAAGTCTATGAAAATACAATTTGTATCTGATTTGTAGATGCTAAAGAGCTAAGTTAATTGAGTTTATCCATGGAACTATATTAAATCTTTACTACTGAGCCATAAATGTTTATTTATTTATTTTGCCTCGCCATATAATAAATATACTTCATATAGTTCTTTTGTTTGTTTGTTTAGTCAGAGTCTCACTCTGTTACCCAGGCTGGAGTACAGTGGCATGATCACAGCCACCACAGCCTCGACCTGCTGGGCTCAGGTGATCCTTTCACCTCAACCTTCCAAGTAGCTGGGACTACAGGCATGTGCCACCACGCCCAGCTAATTTTTTGACTTATTGTGGAGACAAGGTCTTGCCAAGTTACCCAGGATGGTCTTGAACCTCTGGACTCAGGCAATCCTCTTGCCTCAGTCTCCCAAATTACAGACATGAATCACCATGCCTAGTTCTTCATATAGTTTAAAATAGACTACCCGTAGTAAGAAATGCATTCTAATTTAAATTTAATCTTTTGCTTTGGGTTTCCTGTGTATTTTGGTTGTCCCAGAACAAGGGTTCTGTTTTCAACTTGTGCATTTAATGTCATGTTGCCATCTTTTAGAGTTTTTGATTATTCAGCAAAATGAGTTGCTGTTTGATGACGGGGAGATATTAGTTGGATGGACTGTGAAAAGATTGTCACAGTACAGAGGGCAGCAGAGACTGTACAGCGTGCTGCCTTAAGCCATATAATATCTATGTGAGTGAACCAAGGTTAAGCACAGAGCTTTGGAAAGTAATGTGATAGAAGAACCACACTGAATTTTAGGAACAAGTACCTAACTATTGTGGTGTGTGTATGTGTATTTTTTTAGATATAGGGTCTCACTATGTTACCCCAGCTTGTCTTGAACTCCCAGGCTCAAGTGATCCTCTCACCTCAGCCCTCTAAAGTGCTAAAATTACAGGCATGAGCCACCACACCCAGCCTCCTAACTACCATACTTGTTACAGGGTGGCTACAAGTTGCAGCACAGTCTTTCTGTGTGCAGAGTGCCAGAGGCTGCCTTTGTTGATGTTTTCATTCATTCTCTATTGAGTGGGAGCATACTCTTCAAAAATAAAATACAATAAAAACAAAATACCTTTAAAATACCAGAATAATCAGAGGGTTTTGAGCACTGGACTACACCTGGTCCTCTACTGTCAGCTTATGTTTGGGACAACAGGCTGAGAATGGTTAAAAGATTTACCCAAGGTCACAGTGATTGTCAGTCAGAACTAGAACCTAGGTCTCCTTGCTTCAAAGTCTAGGTATCTTTTCACCATAGCATACCACCTCTTATGAATAAATGTCCTCATAATTATTAGGCAGCCATATTCCCCCTTAATTTAAATAAGATGGTTACATATAAGATGTTTGGATCTTCAGTACAGAAACATTCCTGTATTTTGAAACAATTACATAAAGGATCAACTACCAACTCCTCCAAAAAAACCATTAAGACCTCTTGATCGGATAAAACTAAGTTTATTAAACCTACAGCATTAAGAAAAAATGGCACCTTTTTTTTTTTTTTTTTTTACTAAGTTGTGCTTAGGAAGGGGGATGGTCAGGGGAAGATGTTTACATCATTTTGGAGTCTGAGTTCAAGTGGTTAAAAGAGGGGTCTTTCCATACAGGGAATCTGGTGGAGGATGGGCAAAGATCCTGAGATAATGGATTGGTCTTGAAGCAAGTCTTAGAGTAAGCTATGGGTTGACGTTCTAGTAGAATAGCGATTTGCCCAGCTCAGCAAACTGTTCAATTGATAAATCGGGTCTCCAGCGTTTCCTAAAGCAAACACAAGTTATTTACTGGTTTTACAGCCTTATCTTTCATAAGGGGACCAACTCCACCAGTCACCTAGGCACTGAGGAGGTTCCGGGAAACAGGAACAGGCCCAGGCAAAGAAGGCCTGTCGGTTGCTTTCCCTCCTGACCAGGAAGTCCTGTAGCGTGAGGGTCCTGCTGGCACAGGCAGCCTCAGTTCTCAGTCGGGACAGGTTACCGCGTGGTTGCAGTGGTCTCAAGTCTCAGCACCAATTCATCGTTTTGTTTTTTATTCCTCTCTCAGTCCCAATTACACCTTTTCTGAAAGTCAAATCTGGCACCATTTGATAGGGTCATTTCGGTCATCAGCCAGTTACCAGGCCTTATGAGTCAACATAAATGTGATTCGTGAAGAAATTATAGGGTAACTTGTGATACACTTTACTCAGGGCCCTATGGGAGTTCTGTTGTTGAAATTAATACCACTGATGGCACTGATTTATTACAAAATAGTCCTGCCAAATAGATGCTGTGAATCGTGTTGTTAGGCAGTTTTTAAAAACTCAGTCACCTGGGCCACAGAGTAAGCCTCCAACTCAAAAAAACAAAAACTCAGTCACTTGGTGTAATCAGTTGCACAGATATTTGTGTTAGGCAGGATTTCTATGGCTGTTATTCTAGTTATAGGAACAAATTAGTTACCTATGTGATTTTAAAAACCACATAGGTTTAAAATCTAAAAACCACATAGGCTTAATAATTTTGAATGCTGACTGAATAAAAGTAATTTTTCCTTTAACAACACCATAATATTTCCTAGTTTTACTGCCATGGCACCAAAATATCACCTTAAAACACAAAAACAAAAAAACCCGAAAGAAATTAAGCTACCCCCATTGCTGGCCTTAGAAGAAATTGATTCTTGTGGGGTTTTTTGGTTTTTGGTTTTTTTTTGAGTTGGAGTCTCACTCCATCACCCAGGCTGGAGTGCAGTGGCACACTCATGGCCACCTCAGCATCAGCCTGCTGCGCTCCAGTGATCCTTCCGCCTCAGCCTTCCAAGTAACCAGAACTACCACACCTGGCTAATTTTCTGATTTATTGTAGAGATGAGGTCTCGCCAAGTTGCCCAGGCTGTTCTTGAACCCATGAGCTCAGGCAATCCCCTCACCTCAGCCTCCCAAAGTACTGGGATTACAGGCTTGAAACTAATTCTTTAAAAACCCAATTTGAAAGAAAGGCTTTGCTCCCTTTTTCCACAAAGATGGATGTCCAGATTCTAATGTCTGGGACCTGTGAATATGTTATTTTGTTTGGCAAATGGAACTTTACAAATATGATCAAGTCTAGAGTTTCAACATGGGGAGATTATCCAGGATTATGTGATTGGGCCTGGTATAATCACAGTGGTCCTTAAAAGAAGGCAGAAAATCAAAGGAAAAGACAATGTCACCATGGAAGCAAGGGGAGAAAAGGCTATTGGATCACCTTCAGAAACTGGAAAAGGCAAGGAAATGGATTCTCCCCTAAAGCCTCTAGAAGGAACCAGCCCCACTAACAACTTGATCTTACCCCTAAGACTCATTTTAGACTTCTGATCTCCAGAAATGCAAGATAATTTATTTGTGTTGTACTTATGCCTCAAGATTTATGTTAATTTGTTACCGCAGTGTTATAGTTTGAATATTTGTCCCCTCCAAAGCTTATGTTGAAATTGAATTCCCAGTGTGGTAGTGTTGAGAGTGGGGGCTGTAAGAGGTGAGTGGATTAAACCATTCGTGGATTAATGGGTTATCATGGCAGGGGAACGGGTGGCTTCGTAAGAAGAGGAAGAGAGACCTGAGCTAGCATGTTAGCATGGTCGTGTGATGCCTGCACTATTTCAGGACTCTGCAGAGTCCTCACCGGCAAGAAGCCTCTTACCTGATACGGCCCCACTGCGTTGGACTTCTCAGCCTCCATAACTGTAAGAAATAAATTCCTTTACTTGATAAAGTACTCAACTTCTGGCATTATGTGATAAGCAACAGAAAACAAAGACAGCAGCAAAAGGAAACAAATACAAAAAAATAGCAAGGAAATGAATGATTGTATCATGCTCCTCTTTGCCATTATTTCAAGTTGCTTTTATGAGCAAAGCTTGTCTTTCCTAGCGACAGTTGCTAAGTAAGTTAACAACTTAATGCCAGAGTCTGGGAAGGCCTAAAGCTTCCCAAATCCAGTGCCCATACCTTCTATGGCAGGAGCTTTTCTCACCATTCTTTAAAATTAGGCATATAACCACTACTCAATCATGGTGAATCCGTTAATCCTTACCAGCCTCTAGCATTATTCTAAAACCGCAAACCTCTCCAGCTTTCTTAAACTTCCAGGTTTTCTTTAAAATACTTTTTCTGATTCTAAGGTGACTTTGACTGTAAATAGTAGAAGACATCTGAAATTTAACTATGATCAGAAATCCAAATTACACAAACTTTGTTTGCTGTGCTTTTTGTAATAAAATAGTTCCACCAGCCCCTGTTGGAAAAACCTTCAAACAGATCCATGAATACAAACCATTTAAGACACGCTTTTACACTCACAAAGATATACTGGGTAAGTGACTTTATTGTTTTCCTTTGCTGAAATGTTTTGTAGCATTATACGTCATTCTTCCTGTTACATAGCCTTTTATCAGTTTTTTCCTGCTCAAAGTTGCTTATCCTTACAGGGATGTCTGTTTGGCATGAAAAGAATATGGGTTAGAATACAGCTTCTCCACCTACCAGTTGTATACACTGGACAGAATATTTAGCCTCTCAATCTCTTTCTTTTTATGTAAAAAAGGATAGTAATACCAATCTCACAGGTTGTTATGAAACTTTAATGAAGTATTTGTACCTATTATAAAGCTTGGCATGTAGTAGTAAATGTGAGTTCTTTTTACCCTTTCCCAGACTGGGGCACCTTCAGTATGTGTAGGAGAGGAAAGATCTGTAAATAATACTCTGATAAAAGAGTGAAAGAAACTATAACCTTTAAGTAGTACCTGATGACATACAAGTCGATACATAAGATAGCATGAGGATATTTGCTATATATGTATGGATTATACATAAGCAAATCAAATTGCAACTAATTGCAACTACAAGTTTCCTTCCTTCTTTTTTCCTCATAAAGTTTCCAATCTAACTTTAAGCCTTGTAAGTGTTTTCCTAAGGACTCTCAAAATGCTTGTCTGATCGCTTTCTTCCTTCAACATGGTAAACTAAAGGTGATTTTATTTCAATCCTGATCTTTGGAAATATAAGAAGCTAAAGAATAGAGGATATTTGGAGGAAAAAAAGCTAAAATGTAGGAGGAGTTCACATTGTAATCATCCTCTAAAAATATCAATACTTTTAGTATTGATATTTTAACTTTTAGTAAATGCTTAGAATGAATTACTCACTATAATCTCTAAAATGACTTGGCTTTTTACACCCAGGACAGGATATCCCCATTCTTAGATAGGCCTTAATGATTGATTCCTTATGCCTTTTGGGATAACTGAATCCAGACATTAGGTGGATAAATTAAATCTATCTAGTTAAAAATTAATCTTTTCTGTTATTTATGTATTAAGTTGTTCTAAGTCAGAAAACAATCAAAATTGAATTCTCTATAAGTTCAAAAGCATGTTGAAATGTCTACAAAGAGCTAATAAGTATTTTGTAAGATAGTAGTTCTCAATATTAGCAGTGTACTTTGAAAAAAAATTTTTTTAATGCAAATATCTAAACATAGACCCACCGGACTTAATACTAATCCAATACAGACCCACTAAATTCAAGCCTCCAGAGCCGAGCCTTAGTGTGTATATTTTTCTTACACTTTTATACTTGATATTAGCCAAAAGGCTGAGATGTTTCTTACACCTTTAAATAACTTTTTATTTTAAATAGTTTAAGACTCACAGGTTGCAAAAGTAGATCATGTACCCTTCATCTAGCTCCCTCCATTGATGTTTTACATAATCCTAGTATTCTGTCAGACCAGGAAATTGACATTGGAACAGTACTATTAACTCATTTTCAGACCTTACATGCACGTTTTTCCTTTGGGATATAGTTTTATGAAATTTACCATGTGTGAGGCCGTTGTTTTTGTTAAGCACTGGCCAGGCCATGTTTTCCTAAGCTTTGACCCCCTCCCCTACTTTGACGAGGTGAATCTCCTCTCTCTCTCTCTCTCTCCAACTTACTTTAAATAAGCTATATTTTCCAATGGAAAAAAAAGAAATTTACGTGTGTATATTCATGTAGCATCACCACAATCAAAGCATAGGACTATTCTACCACCACACAAAACTCCCTTGCAACTAATTGTAACTACAAGTTTCCTTCTTTCTTTTTTCCTCATGAAGTTTCTCGCTTTAACTCCTGAACAGTCACACTCTTTCCCCTCTAACTTTTCCCTGGCAGTCACTGATGTGTTCTCTGTCACTATAATTTTATCACCGTGAGAATGCTGTCTAACCAGAAGCATACAGCATATCAGCTTTGGAGAGGGGCACTTTTCATTCGGCATAATGCCCTTGAGATTCATCAAGTTGTTTGTATTAGTTGTCTGTTCCTTTTTCCGCATGTGCACTCTTTAAAAAGGCTCTGCAGGGATCCTGTTGTACAATCAGGGTTGAGAACAACCTGATTGTTCTCATATAAACTATTGGGACTTAAGTGTGAAAGAGGATAGTGACAGCCTACACTCATTTCACATTTTTACGCAGTTCAGCACATTGATGGTCTATGCTTAGTCACGTTTCTTCCAAGAAACTCTTTCATAATTTTATCTAGACAATTTTGAGCTTTTGCAGTTTGTGTCCATCTCTACCACAGTATTCATGGCCCTGTGTTTTTAAGACTCACTAATGATCTGGTAGCTGAGATCTATGCCACCAAACATATACTTTTAGCTGCTAGTGACGGAACAACTCAGAATAGACTATGTATAAAGTGGAATTCCTTGACCCAGCGTCAAGCCTCTCCATCTTCCCATGCTTACTCTTTTAGTGAGTTGGCCTAGTTGTTAGTACTGAAGCCAGGCCTCCTCTAGCAGCTGGGACGGGAGGGAAGTGGATCCAAATCGTTCTAAGCATCTATTACCTTCTGCTTAGAAATCCCAGAGGAAAAGGAGCTATGTTCTCCTTACAACTTTTATAAGATCCCTGGGAAGAGTCTGGTTGACAGGCCTCAGCATGTGTTCAATCCTAGTCCAATTACTGTGGCCCAGAGGAGGGGAGAGGAAGGGCTGATAAGGTCAGGTGCTGTGATGAGAACAACCTGAATGAGGGAAGGTTTCTGAGAGAAAGGGTCACCAAAGGGGGAGAAGAGACACTAGGCAGGTGAGCACATGCGTCCAGAAATGTCTCATGTGTGCTTATTGCTGAACTAGGGACCTCAGAGGTTTGTAGCAATGTAAGAAGTGCTTTGTAATTTTAGGAAGTTGATCACCAAAACCTAATCACCTGAAATGTTAATGTGAGACATGAATGGAACGAAAAGCAAAGGACTACAAGAGTTTGGGGTAGAGAGAAAGATCACTGAGTGTGATTTTAGCATCCAAAGGGTTTGTCACTCCTATAACAGCTTATGAACCACCTCTGACAACACACTCTGGTGGGAGAAGATGGAAAACCCTGTGCCCAGCTCCAAAAGTTCACATCTTGGTTCCAGGTCCTCTTTCCCTAGCTTTCTGACAGTGTGTGGTCCTCTAATCTCTCTAGACATTTGTTGCCTTGTCTGGGTAGGTAAGGCATCAATATGGGAATATTATTATTTGGAAATCAAATGAGATGGTTGGTTGAGAAATAATAAACTATCATACTTAGCTCACTCCACAACAGAAGCAGTTAAACCCACGAAGACCCACACACTAAAGAAAGGTATGCAATGGATCAAAGAAGGCATTCTGTTTCCACTCTCCCAATGGAGGTAGCCCCAGCACCCATAGAGGAGAGGGCGAAAGAGCTGTGTAATGTGCTAATAGTTCTTAAATATTTACTCACCATTCTATGGGTGTACAAAACATGCCTCTTTCTGCGGGATGTTGATTTCACTTAACTTCCCTAGTTGTCTGCTGTGAGGACTGGGTAGGACGAGGGGAACAACCAACTCTATCCAGGTTTACAGTGCTGTGAGTTCTCTCCTAGTCTGTTAGGGGAAAACGTACCCCATCAGTGGGTATCTTTCATGAAAGATTGACAGATCCTCAGAGCGAGTGTCTCCTAGAAAGCTCTCATAAATTAGTAGATAATGGTGGAAAGGGAAGCCAGGAAACAGTCTGTGGAAGTTTATGATCATTTCTTTTCACATACACAGATATTGGGGCAAGTATTCTGAATGAAAAGGAGCAATTTCAAGAAGCTGTACTCAGAGAAAGTATTGCAAAAACAGAAGCTGAAGTATGGGCTCAGGTAAAAGGTGTTAGAAATCCACCCAAAGGACATCTTTATGGTTCTTTCACATTCTGGATTTATCTGAAACAGTAAAACAGTGTAGCAGTCAAGAGCATAGACTGCCGAGTCCGACAGAGCTGACTTCAAATCCTAGCTAGCTGTGGGTGGGACCTTGGGCCAGTTTTTCAACTTCTGTAGTCTTGGCTTCTTCATCTGTGAAAGAAACATCATAATGTCTATTCTATAGCATTGTTGAGAGGGTTCAATGAAATAATGCGACTGGCACTCAATAGGTGCTTAGAAGGAAGCAGTCATCACAGAGCTCCCTTCCTCCTAAGGCGCTCTCTCTGTATGGATGGCTCCTTTATTCTTATTTGATTCAAACCAAAACTAAAAAGGAAAAAAAAAAGAACTAAGAAGATATCCTTGTTGATAAATATATCAAGGATATATTTTATATATTGATAACTGTTTGTTAACAACAAACATTGAATCTATAGACCATCCATTTGTTCAGTGTGTAACACCCCTGGACTAAGTGCTAACTTTTTCCAAATGTTTCATAGTGGCCGACTCCCCTTTTCATCCCCTCTCTCCAAAATTCTCGTCACTTGTCCATATGACTGTTGCAGGCCCAGTTTGAATGTTGGGGCTCACGGTGGAATCCAAAACATCAAAGTGAAGCAAAGCTACAATCCTGCAGCCCCCACTCCCAGTCATAAATGGACATCAGCAACTTCCTAAAGAGAACGAAAGCTCCTTGAGGGCAGGACAAGCCACAGTCTTGGAACAATGTTACTTCTCAGTTTCTGAATAGAATAGACATTATAGCCAATAGTAGTGGAATTGTCCAGAATTAGTGCCAGAAGAAACTTGGTATGAAAGTATTTTGAACATACAAAATATTCCAGTGCAAAGGGTAGCATAGCTCAAAAATCTTACTCGCCATTATTTTTATCAGTAATAAAATTCAGACTGATTATTAGCCGTCAATTAGACATCCTAATAAAAGGTGATGCTTTTGTGAATAGCCTGCAATTTAAATGGAAGTTTATCCAGTGTTCTGTGTATTCTCTTCAAAGTAATGTGACTTCTTTCTAAAGACCTGATGCAGGAGGTCTGGGGAGGTATTCTGCCTCTTTACCCAGCTCCTTCTGGCTTTTTGCATCTTTTCATTCCTCTGTTTTCCAGATTTTCTGTGAAGCACATAGATTATGCTGATAGTCAATCAAACAGAAAATAAAGTGCCGCAAAGAACAGGAAACCCTTCAGCCTACATATAGTAAAGCTGTCCTGCCTGTAGCAACTCCAGAAGCAGTGATGTTAGCCAAGGGCTGGGCTGTGCTATGACATCTCTAGCTGATATAGCCAGTCTGCTATGGGAGGTTTGAGATGGGAATGAAACAGGAAATTAGGGACCCTGTGATGGTTGCTAACCTTCAGTAAACTTGAAAACCTAATGTGCCAATGTTTCAAATAAGATGAGTTGTCCTATCCTGATGTATTAATAGATACATGTACTCTTTCTTTCAAAGGCGAGTGAAAGCCAGAGAAAAGCAGTGGAGAAAGCACTTGAAGAAGCAAATGTGAGACACAAAATTGAAATTCAGATTTTAAAAGAAGAACATCAGCAGGATTTAGAGGTTCCTATAGTGGTTTATTTGTTGTCTTTTAAAACGTGCATAAGTTAAAGTACCGAAGTTGGCAAAGGAATGAGAAAAAAACATAATATGTAAAATCTAGGTTGATATTTCCTGGTGGTTAGTTGGGAGGTTCCCAGAAGAGACGCTTAGCTCTCTGGAGCAGGGATGAGTGGTGGAGGAGAGCGCCTAGCTTACTTCCCAAGAGAAGCTCTGCCTGACCAACCCTTCACATGCTGCCTGTGACACCTCTGTCTCTTTCATAGCAGTCATCACCATTGTAGTTAATTATCTTGTGATTAGTTGTTTAATGTCTGGCTCTCCCACATGACTGCAGACTTCACTGGGGACTGTTGGTCTTCTCTTCTTGCTGGCCCTGCTGCCCAGCAAAAAAAAAAAGTCTTGATTAGTAGATGCTCAAAAAGTTGTTGAATGAATGAAGTAGCTATTCTCTTCCTTCTGAAATCTCTGAGTGCAACCTTTTCCCAAAATTTGCATTTCCTGCACTGCCAAGGGGGACATCTGAGTGGTCCCTCAAGTATTTACTGCAGAGCCAGAGGTGACAAGATGAGGGGAACTCTCTTCTAACCTGTAACCTGTTTAAGCACATGACTCTAGGTAACTACTAAACATTCCATGCAGAGACCCCAGGATTCGTTGTTAGTTCAGTATCTTGGTTATAAAATCTGTTCAAAGGAAAAAGGATACAGAACTATTTTTACATTTTGGCCAAGGAAGGGACAGGACAGGACAAGGTGTCTGTGTGATGATACATAAGCAGAGGTTGGAGGCCCACTTATTTATTGTTCCAGCAATGAGTGCCTACCAGATGTTAGCTCTGTACGAGGTGAGATCAATGGACTGTTCTTCACCCTGGGAAGACTTACTAGCAGGAGAAGGGACTCCTCCCCGGGTTCCTAAAGGTAGTGGGATGTTCTCTGCTTTGCTTCAGGGCCCTTCCTCAGCCAGGATTGTCATGGTGCCCAGGGGATTGGCTGTGGTGGCCCATGCCCTTCCCCTACTTCAGTTCAAAATGTGAAGAGCATTTATAATAGGCCATTCAGCTGACATGTGCCAGTATGACCATACTGGTAACTAAGTGTTGAAATACTTCTTTATCAAGCCCTCTATCACCTTGGTCACCCTGGTTGCTTTTCCTGTAAACCCCTGGACCTCACCCATTCTAGCAATTTAAAGAGATAGCGTGTGGCTTGGCAGGGGGCTCTAGGGCCCTGCTATCATGCTGCAGCCAGAAGCAATCTAGATAGGTGGCCCCTACTGTGCTGGTCGATACACATTTTGTTTTGTTTTGTTTTTTGCTTTTTGAGTTGGAGTCTCACTCTGTCGCCCAGGCTGGAGTGCAGTGACCGCTCCCGGCCACCGCAGCCTCGACTTGCTAGGCTCAGGTGATCCCTCCACCTCAGCCTTCCAAGCAGCTGGAACTACAGGCGCATGCCACCATGCCCAGCTAATTTTTTGATTTATTGTAGAGACGAGGTCTCGCCATGCTGCTCAGGCTGGTCTCAAACTCCTGGGCTCAGGTAATCCTCACCTCCACCTCCCAAAATTCTGGGATTATAGGTGTGGGCCACCATGTCCAGCCAGTTGTTATTTCAACCTATTGTTTCTTATTTCAACTTGATATATCTGTAGAATACCCAGAGGTAAATACAAATCCTACTGCTCAGAGGTTGTCTGTGAGCCATCAGCATCTGATCTGTTCATCTGAGAGCGTGACATGCAGATTCCGGGGTCTCACTCTGACCTACAGATGCAATCAGCAGCCCACATGTTTCTCTCACATATTAAAATTTGAAATTTCCAAAATATGGTGGTAAACTAACTTCTTCTAGAACCAAATGGCATTAAATTCTGATATGACAAGACCACCAGTCATTACTCTTATGTGATGTAAAGAGTTTGGTATGTCTCAAATGCATGCTGTGAAATAAAATATCAGGATCTCACTCAGACAGATAGAACTTTGAAAAGGTGTCCATATTATCCAAAGACAATAAGATCGAAACTAAATAAGAAAATAAAAACTAAGGGAAAATGTAAAAATGAAAAGTTAAAGTTGGAAACAGAATGAAGTCATGGGTGAATTAAAAACTTAAAATGTATGTATGCCATGAAATCCTGTGTGATGATCACTAATTGGGCCCTGAGCTTTCTGGCAGCCAGTGCAAAAAGGGTAATGTCATTAATCACTATGTTCAAATGGTAAAAACAAGTCAGGTATGCAGGAGAGGCTCAGGTATGCCTAGTTGTGAAACCTGAGAGAAACTTCTGAGGGCGATATTGTACAAAAAATGCCGGTCAAACATCTGCACGGTTAACATGAAGTTGTTTCTTCTACTATCTCGAAATGTGGGCTCACTTACTCAACATGCATTTCAGTCAAAGCAATTTAATCGGTAAGACCTTAAGACCATGAAGAACACTGGCAAACAGTAGGTTATTGAATTATTTTTGGAGCTTTAACTATGTATTCCACATGCTATGTGAGGCAGTAAAATGATTTTGGTTTTATTAAATCATCACATGAAAGAAGGTCTGAGTTTAATTCTCTAAATCCTCATTCAAAACCCAGCCAAAATAAAGGGCTAGAATGTTATTTTTAAATTCTACAATTCAAAGAGAAATATGTGATGGTAATACTTCACCTATCTTAGGCTCAGCCATCCACCAGTCTCAATTACTGAGAATATATTTAAAAACCCAGAAATAAGTTAAAATATCCCTTAAGGAGTTGAATAGCATCCTCTGACTACAAGAGGATAACTGAGGGTTATTACTCTTAGCAGAACCTCTTCACCCCACTCAGATGTAATTACTCCTACTTGACAACCTGAGTCCAACAGACTCAGTTACTCGATTTTTTTTAACTCGAAATAGATGAAATGGTGAAAACTAGAAATGGCAAAACGGGGCTCGCTGACAGCAGTTAGAACAGCATTCTCAGCCCCATAGCATGTAATTTTGTCATTTTTCTTGTTCTTCTTTTGAAGAACAAGAAAAACTTCCTTTGATACAGAGAGCAAATCCCAAATCTCAAAAAGCAAAGCAGTCTGGGGTCATTTATGACAGAGAAACATGAGTCTATCAACTTGAGCAATTATCATTGTCATGGGTGAATTAAAAACTTAAATTTTAACCCAGAGTAGAGTTTGTAACCCAGTAAAATCATTCATCTTTTTGGAGTCTGGGTCATCAAGAAAATTTTAGATTATTTCATAATACTCTTTTTCATGAAGTAAGGTAAGTATAAAGATATTTAGAAGTATTTCCACTCAAGATGTGTTATTATAAAAAAAATTAGTGATTTAAGAGACAAAATCTTCTGCAGTGCAGAAACCCCAGCTAGCATTTCTAAAGGGCCAAAGTTTTCCTTAAAAGATTTTTAAAATACAAGACCTGAGGCCACTCTGGAGAGATTGTTAAAGTTGATCTCTGTTGTTGATTTTGTTTTTTTAATTTCTCGCTCCTAGAGTAGTTAAGAGTGAGAAGTTGAAAACTTTTCTTCTTGAAAAAGCTAAAGTGTGTCTAACAAAAATTTTAATTGCTGAAATAATCTTCTAAGAAGCTGAATCCATTTCCGTTTCCCTTGAAACTCGGGGTTCTCTTGACTTTCCCTCAGCTTAGGGTCTCCAGACACTGTAAATGAAGCTGGCTCCCCCAGGAGCGCCCCAGGAAGGGAGCTAACTAGGACTGGGCAACCTTCAGCCAAGAGCACTCTTCCTGGCTTAACTCCTCTCCACTCTGAGTAAGATTTCACTTAAAGAGGAGACTCTGCAGCTGTTAAAAAGAGAAAGAAAGGAAACCCACTCTACTATCTTATAAGGCTGCACAATTAATGAACGTCTTGAAAGGCTCCAGTATCACAGCCACCAACGAAGCAAGAAATTGGCAGTTGAGACTCTGGTTTCCTTCCCTAGTTCTTCCATTGATGCACTAGGGGAAATAATTTCTTTATGTTCGCTTGATATCTTCCCTAAAAGAGATAAACATTGACCTTTAAAGGAAAGTTCTGAAACCCCTGGACAGAATGAATTGCCCCTCCTCTCCATAAATTTCTATTGCAACGTCCACTGCACGATGAGGTTGCTGGCCCCCTCCACTAGACTGTGCATCCCCTGAGGCCAGGAGCCTCACCTTCTTGCTTATAGCACCTGGGCCTCACAGGGCACCAGGCACAGCGTGAAGTTAGTCGGCATCTCCAAAATGTGACAGGTTTTCCTTTAGGACGATTTGCGAGTCTGTTTTCCGCAAGTCTTGGTCTGACTAGTGTTTCTACTCTTTTTTTAGTCGAAGGCCATCCACAGGTCCTTCCTGCTTGTTTCTGGAGCAGTGGAGGACTTGTTCCTGTCCCCTCCATGAATGAGAAAGAGCCCCTCAACCCTGATGAGCTGGAATGCCCAAACAGTGGTGGGGACTGGCAGGCAGGTTCCAGTGACTGTAATATTGTGCGATTGTTTTCTGTCTGAGCCTCAAGTTCCCTCCTACCCAGGAGACACTCAGGAGGCATGTTAATTATTTCTGCCATTTTCCGGAACTTTCTAAAGTAGAATTGCATTAAATATCTCTAATTATATATAAAGATAATATGATACTAGAATATTTGGGCCATCAGAAAAAGACTTTAGCCGGGCTCGGTGGCTCAGCCTGTAATCCCACGCCTTTGGGAGGCTGAGGTGAGTGGATTGCCTGAGCCCGTGGGTTCGAGACCCGCCTGGGCAGGTGAGACCTCATCGCTACAATAAAATCAAAAAATCAGCTGGGCGTGGTAGCGCATGCCTGTAATTCCAGCTACTCGGAAGGCTGAGGCGGAAGGATCGCCGGAGCCCAGCAGGTCGAGGCTGTGGTGGCCGGGAGCGGCCACTGCACTCCAGTCTGGGTGACAGAGCGAGACTCCGACTCAAAAAAAAAAAGAAAAAGACTTTTAACGCTTCCCCTCTTACCCAACTGATTTTCGTTATTGCATTTTCCCTTTCAATATTATCTACATTTGTGCTAGATAGGTTGTACCGTTTTGAATTTACTCTTAGCATCACAATCAGGAAGGTGTTTTTTTTTAAATATCGTATCCACTCTTCTTTTCAAACATCAGCGCTGAGAGGTGGACTTGCTGTCAGGCATTTAAAACTGTGATTTAAGTAGCCTTTTAGTGTGCATGTTTGAACATCAAATCTGTAGTCGCTAAACCTCGTTTTGCCGTTGCTTAAGGAAATAAAAGCTAAAACGAAGACAGACTTGTATCAGAATATGAATGACGAAATGAAGAGAGAGCACTTGGCTGCGGAACAGCGCATGGTCCACAGAATCCAGAGGATTATGATGGAGTGCCACAGGGAGAAGGTGGCAGCTGTGGAGGAAGCCAGGGCTGAAGAACGGCGGATCGCCCGGGAGGAAATCGAAGCCCAGAAAAGGTATCTGGAGAACCCGCTTGCAAGTCAGTGCCTCACTCTGTCAAAATCAACTTGGAGGAAGGGAGAAGGTTAAAGGTACATGGGCCGATCTTGCCCAGTTTGGGTATTTTACATTTTTATTTTCATTTATTCTTTTAGGTTGGAGTCACTCTGTTGCCCTGGCCGAAGTGCAGTGGCACAGTCATGGCTCTCTGCAGTCTCGACCTCCAAGCAGTTGAGTCTGCCTCAGCTTCCTGAGTAGATGAGACTGTAGGTACAAACTACTGCACCTGAATTATTTTTTTAATTTTTGTAGAGACAAGGGATCGCTATGTTGCCCAACCTGGTCTCGAATTCCTCTAGCAACCCTCCTGCCTCAGCTTCCCAGAGTGCTGAGATCATAGGTGTGGGCCACCATGCCTGACCTCGTTTACGTTTTTATTAAGGAATAATATAGGGAACAAACATAGGGAACAATATGTAATATATTGTAGTGTGTGTGTGTGGTGTAAAGAACCAAACATTGGGAACAATATGTAATAGAGTGTGTGTGTGTGTGTGTGTGCATGTGTATGTGTGTGTGTGTGTGTGTCTGTGTGTGTGTGTGTGGTTTAAAGAAAAATAGTGACTAAACACTCAAGGGCCAACCTCTCAGTTTAAGGGATTGACAATTACCAATATTTCTGAAGTTCTCATGTGTTTTTCCTGAATCTTATCTCCTTCCTGTCCCCTCTTAAGAGATAACGACTCTCCTAAATATTGTATTTTTCATTCTGTAACACCAGTTTTAAGAGGCTGACGAGAGGAATCAAGAAACATTTTCCCATAAACACATATAAATCAAGCTTTACATTCTGCAGCCTAGATCATACGCTATTGTGGATGTGTTACTTTTTGGTCTTTTTAAAATTATACAAACTAATATGTGTTGCAAAAGAAGTTGACATTATGGATGTAGAGAGTACCAAAATTGCAAGTCTTGACTCATTGCTTCCCCCACACCCTCCCTGCCTCCCAGAGACAATTATTGTAAATAATAGGGAATAGGGTCAGTATCCTTCCATACCCTTTTTTTTTTTTTTTTTTTTTTTTTTTGTAGAGATGGGTTCTCACTATGTTGCCCAGGCTGGTCTCAAACTCTTGGTCTCAAGCAATCCTCTTGCCTCAGCCTTCCAAAATTTGGGGCTCACAGACATGAGCCACTGTGCCTGGCCCTTCCATACCCTTTTGATGTATTTATAATCATATGTATGTGCATAATCACACAAATCATTGGTGACATTAATCAAATCATATATATATATATATATATATATATATATTGTTTTTAAGAAAACCAAGGTAATCATTTCTATGTACGTCATGAATATGTGATGAAACAGGACAGCAGTCAGAAGCCCAGGGATAGTCAGACGCAGGAGAAAAAAATCATGATTTCCAGATTTTAAGTGGCCTGCTCAAGATCCCTGAGCTGTAGCAGCAGAACCAAGACTGAGAGACTTCCCTGTCTGGCCTCCTAATCTGTGTCTGGTCCCTTTTTCTTTATTGCTGGAGTTAACAAACAAATACATCTCTGTGTAATTAATGGGTAACGCCTTTCCCATTAGGACTGTTTAGAGCAGGGCCAAAGGTAAGCTCCTGAAGGAAGGACACATGAGGGAGAATGAGGGCAGCAGCTGTGGCTGTCTCACTGACCCTCTCTTTCCACACAGACTATGGGTTGTGTGGCGGTAGAAGAGAAAAGTGAGAGGATTTCAGAAGGAGGCTAGAGAGTGAGTTGTAGCCCTGTGCGGCAGAAGGTGAACCCTCTTTTCCTTCTATGATCTCCACCACCTGCAGGAGCTCCGCCCCTCCTGTGGGAGCTTCTGGGTCCCCTCCTCACACACACCTGGGGTCTTTCGCGCCCTCTTTCCCTGGGTAACTTTTGCCTCCTCCAGCCCTTTCTTCTGTGCCTTTTTTTGCTGGTGTGTTTCTGTTTTGAGTTGGGCTCTCACTCTGTGGCCCAGGCTGAAGTGCATGATACTATCACAGCTCACCACAGTCTCAGTCTTCTGAGCTTAGGGATCCTTCCACCCCAGTTGCCTGAGTAGCTTGGACTACAGGCATACACTACCACGCCTGACTAATTTTTAATTTAATTTTGTAGGGACGAGATCTCACTGTGTTGCCCAGGCTGGTCTCAAACTCCTGGGCTCAAGCAGTCCTCCCACCTCAGCCTCCCAAAGGGATGGAGTTACAGGTGTGAGCCACCATGCCCAACCAGACCACTTTCATAAGAAGTTTGTTAAATTTCATGGACAGAAAACTTTTTTTGTGATTTGAACAGAGTGTCCAGGAGACACTGGATTCTTTCTCTTAAAGTTAAAATCTCAGCTTGGAAAGGCTGTAATTTGCAGCCCAAGGCAAGGCATGAATGAAGGGACCACTCGGGGGTTTTGAGGGTCATAACTGTAACTCCTAATGACAGCTACCCAATTTATTTAATATCCAGCACAGGCAAGACCCTTAGGATACTTCTCACTGGATCCTCATACCTCTTCTGGGAGATTCTGTTCTCCTGCATATCTTCAGGTTAAGACCTTGAGTCTTAGAGCGAAACTAAGCAAACCGCAGGAGGTCACAGGGAAAAGAGGTGGCGGGGCCCGATCAGAATCAGGCCTATATGATGCTAAAACTTGAACCTTTCCATTGTGCTACCAGCTCTACAGGGAATGAGGCTGTGTGAGTTATCGAGGGTTCGGCCATTTCACCAGAGCTTACCAAGTGCGGCCTGTGGATGCGGCACAAAGAAATAGGGGCCCTCCCTCCGCACTGTGTGAAGCCCCTAAAGCATGGCTGCCCCACACGAGCCAGGGCTGCCTGGACGGGCATGAACAACACAGAGGTGTTGGAAATCTCTAGCTAAGTGTGAGTGGGGTATGTCGAAAGGTATGTTTTTGGGGGGACGTTAGCCTACAGCTGGGCCTTAAGAGAAGGTGGGTCCCATTTGCGAGAGAGACAAAAGCATGAGAATAGAATAAGCAAAGACCTAGAAGGAGAGGGTGTGGTGCGTGACGTGTGGTGAGGCAGAGCCAAGAGAAGGGCTGAGCGTGTTAAGAACCCTGGGTTGCGAAGGCGCTGTCGAAGGCTAGACCCTGGAGATGTCCCCCGGCTCCCTGGCTTCTGTAATGCCTGCAGCCTCCTGCCAGACCAGGGAACCATGGGTCCCCAGTGGCCCAGCTAGAAAATCAGAATGTGTGTTCCTTGTATACACAGTGGTTCTACCTGGCTGAAATAATGCTGACAGTCCTATAGTTCTCATGAAAAATGGATTCATAGCTCATGATGGGCTAACTGGGCAAATGATCTGCTATGTTCAGCATTGGTTCAAACGCTTGATGCACAAGGGAATGTTGTGAACAAACCCTTCGCAGTCGACAAATTGCCTGTGGGAGGTAATGAAGCATTGGTTCCAACTGCCTTTTAAGATCCATGATTTTTATTGGTGGACATAGAAAGGAGGTTGAAAAGTGTGCTGTTGGCAACATACAGAAGGAAAATGAAAAGTCCATTTAATAAATAGTAGGGAAGGAATAGCCGCTGAGATTTTTCTTTTTAATCTCTGAGCAATATATCTTGCCCCATTTTCGCAGACTTGCAAAAATAAAGAGAAGGACAGCAGGTAGAGGTCCGAAAGGGAGCAGAGGACACACTGGTTGCTAGTATGCATTTTCCATGCTTTATTTTTTTCTCCATCAGCCCAGAAGGTTGAGTTACTAGACATGGTCTTCTTATTCAGTAACTTGTTTTATTATCTGAGAATTCATTGTATAAAATAGCAAACTGAATCCTATAGGTGCGGACACATAGTGCAATACAACTATTTTGAAAATAATGGGGCAACCCCCTTGGGCCCCCTCCTGCTCTGGGAGCTCTTCTGTCCTCTCTGTAAATTCTGCTTTAAGAAAGCAAGAAAAAGAATGAAATTTCTGACTGGCACCACCCTTAGGTATGGGCATGTGCTCCAAAATCCCAAGTCTATAGCCTCTAAAGATGGAGGTGGCGGGTGAAGTTCACCGCTCCAGAAAGAAGCCTGGACATGCACCTTACATCAGAATGGGCCTTGGAGGTTGTGGCGTTGAGCCTGCCATTCCATTCCAGCATGTGAGCTCCACCTTCTGTGACAGGAACGTCATCTCTGGTTGCGGTAGTTGGTTCGAAGGCTGGATGCCCCTATGTCTCATGTTCTTCCTAAGCTGAATCCAAAATACCCTCGGCCTTACCGTCACTTCTACCCTTGGCTTCTGGCTCCGACCCTCCTCCATGCATGGTGGTCCTTCAAATATTTGATGAGAGAAGCTATGTCCAAGAGTTAGTTTGAAGAAGGAAAGGAAAAAACAAAAAGTACTAGTATACTTGGCTTCTCCAGTCCTTCCTAATTTGATATACTTTCTAGGCCCTCTTTTGAGAAAAAAAATCAGGTAGACAAATTTGTATAAATCAAAAAATGTTTTAAATATACCACAAGAATGGACTGTTTTCATATAGCGAATACTTTACTGATGTTAAGAATCCTTTTTAAGCTTGGATTCTTTTAAGCTTTTGTAATTTAACTGTTTTAAAATTTGATGTTAGTTGGCACAGCACCACACATTTGAGAGAACTACATCTGTAGTATCTACATATTCATTCACACATTTATTGATTTCCTGTTGTATCCATGATGGATACCATGCTGGGCAGGAGAGACACAAGGATAAATGAACCATAGCCGCCGTGCACTGCACCCCACTGCACACCACCCCATTTCTGGTTTCAATTCCATACCTTCAATGGAATCATCAGAATAAAATTCAGAGACATGCTGACCTTAAACCCAAAACAGTGAATCCCAAAGGGTCAAAAAAAAAAAAAATTCAGGCTCTGAGGCAGGTTGAGAAATGTTGGAAAGGACAAAAGACAAACAAAATAAACAAACAAAACAGGTTCTTTAGCAAGAACAGACTTTGCTATCAAGGAGTTTAAAAGAACTGTCATTGAGGGCAGGAGCTGTCGTTGGCCGAGACATGTTGCTGGGTCAGTTTTACCTGGAGGCAGCTCTGGAGGATCCGACCAGACAGCCCATAAACGAAACCTCTCATGTATGAAAGCCAGACCGACCCGCCAGGAAGCTTATGCCTGCTTGTGGCAAAGCTGTAGCTCTAGAGGACTCCAGGGAGCACAGCTTCCTTTTGGGCCTGTAGGCCCTGGTCATCACCTTCACAGGTTCACCGACAGCCTGAAGACTTTATTAAACTTCAGATTAAGTCTTAAGAATGTGTGTGAGGTGCACACTCCCCCGCTGTCCATGATGTCCCTCCTGTTAATGGCACTGCCCTTTTCCTGTGACCCAGCCTGAAACTCAGCAAGTTGGTTTGGATTCCTCTTTTTTCCCACACTCCCTATCTCCTGACAGTCACAGACTCTGCCCTTTGTGACTTCGTAACATGTCTTGGCTTTATCCCTTTCTCTCCTTCTTCCTAACCCTCCTATACCATTAGCTCAGACCCTGTAACTACAGAAATCCACCGGAAGTGTATCACAGAGGCTAAGAGCTTTTACCCTGGAGCTTTTGCCTTGATTACAGTGAAGATTTTGCCACTTTTACTTAGTAAGCAAACTTGGACACATTACTCACCCTCTCTGAGCTCGGTGTCTTCTTCATAAAAAGGGCCTAGTAACAGAACCACCTCAGAGAATTGTTTTGGAGGAGTCATTGAGTTAACATGTGCGCAGAATACTCATCAACCTGCTTGCACATGGTAAAGGGTTAATATAGTTGACTGCCGTAAATTATACATCATCACATATATTATAGCCAGAGGTCTATGATCACTTAGCAGTGGTTCTCAAAGTGTGGTCCAAAGACACTTCAGGATCCCTGAGACTCTTTAAAGAGGGACTCTATTAGGTCAAATCTATTTTCTTAATAATACTAACATGTTATTTGTGTTTTCCACTCTCATTCTCCTGAGTGTTTTTTTGTTTGTTTGTTTTTAATAGAAACTGGGTCTCATTCTGTCTTCCCAGGCTGGAATGCAGTGGTGCAATCATAGCTCACTGCAGCCTGGAACTCCTGGGCTCAGGCAATCCTCCCACCTCAACTTCCTAAGCAGCTGCCCATGCTAATTTTTTTTTTTTTTAGAGACGAGGTCTCACTATGTTGCCCAGGCTGGTCTCTAACTCCTGGTCTCAAACTATCCTCCCACCTCAGCCTCCCAAAATGCTGGGGTTACAGGCATGAACCACTGTGCCCAGTCTCCTATGAGTGTGTAATGGTCCTTTCCAGGGGTTTTATGATGTGATATCACAACAGACTGAAGCAATATGAAAATCCAACTTCTTTCCTATTAAGCCATTAAAAATTTTCGGGGGGGAAAAAGTGAAATTGCACCACTCTTCTCACCAAGTATTTTATTATTTTGGAAAATATATTTTTCATAAAAGATTTATGTCAATGTGTAATCAGTCTTATTTCACATAAATTAATAAAATTTTTAATGTCTCGCTTTTAGTCTCTAAAACTGTTAATGTCAGTAGATATAACTCATATAAACAAAAGTTCTTTAGTTTTCTCAATAATTTTGAGAGTAACAGAGTCCTGAGACCAAAATTTTGGTGTGACTGATATAGTATACTGCTCAGACAAACAAGAATGTCGTGAAATCTACCTGTGAGTATAAAGTTTTCTTCTCCCTTCTGGCTAAAGGTCAGCAGCTGGACTTATATAAAGAAATATCTTCTCTTCAGAGTTTGCAACTCTGACGCTATTTCTTCATTTTTAAGAACAATGTGGTGGCCGGGTATGGTGGCTCAAGCCTGTAATCCCAGCACTTTGGTAGGCTGAGGTGAGAGGATTGCCTGAACCCACGGGCTCAAGACCAGCCTGGGGAACTTGGCAAGACCTTGTCTCTACAATAAATCAAAAGAATTAGCAGGGCATGGTAGCCCACGCCTGTAGCTCTGGCTACTTAAAAGGTTGAGGCAGAAGGATTGCTGGAGCCCAGCAGGTTGACACTGGGGTGGCTGTGAGCGTGCCACTACGCTCCAGCCTGGGCAATGGAGGCTACAACTCAAAAAAAAAAGAGCAATGTGCTTATATTTTTCGGGCCAAGGTGGACTCTGGGTCCTCCAGTTGCCATTAGGTGTTAGACTAGTGGCCTCACTCAAACCCACAGCTGGGAAGTAGATGAGCAACCTTGCTGCTCTGAAAAATGTTTTCTGATTCTTAACAGCTAATTCAATCCAAAGGCTTATCTCAACAATGTCATGATTCATTTCGGTTAAAGACAAAATCACTCGGTTTAAGTGGCTAACCCATCTAACATATAAATCCATATTGTCTTTTGCAGCAAGGTCATGGAGGAACTTATAAGTACTGATTTGATGGTTACTAAGCATCAGAAGTCAAGTGTGGGCCATGTGAAGAGGGCAAGAGAACATAAGCTGAGCATCAGCTATAGCGTGGCTGAGAGGCAGAGGCAGGAAGAGGTCCAGGAAGGGCTTCAGGAAGCAGAAAAAACACATCAGGCCACTCTTGACAATGTGATGGAAAAACTGGCCAACACCAAGGGGGAGCTGCTGTCCATAGCCAAACAACTGGGAATCATGACAAACTGGAAAGATTTCCTGGAGGAGGAATTACAGGAAACCAGGGCAGCATTTCAAAAATATATCGATTATACCTTTCCTAAGCTTTCACCAGGCCATGCCGACTTTATTCTGCCAGAAAGAAAGAAAACGCCTTCCAATCTTGTGATTAAGGAGAATGAAACAGCTCTTGATTAGAAGTCTTCTATTGGAACCTCACTACCAAAGACATCATTCCAAAGACCAAATAAACGTACTCGTAAAGCACTTATTGATCCCCAGTCTTGTGTAGGGTACTACTGGTCTGTAAGAATTTTGTTGGAAAACCAAAATAGGAAAAAGCACATTCCAGGTTATGGTGAGCACCAAGTCTAATCGAACTGAGAAAACAGGGAGAGAGCAAACTGATTAGGAGGGAAACGCATGTCTTGGAGGAAGTCTAAATACACTTCTGTATGTCTTTATTCATTTCTTCACCAGCTCTGTAACTCTTAAAATATAAGTTACCATTGAAAACGAGTAAAAGGACATATTCTTAGATTGTTCCTGTTATGGAGAGATGTGCTATCTTCCAGCAGAGAGATTATCACTTGGTGAAATGCAGTAGTATTGTAGAAGAAAAAGAAGCTTTTCTCAAATTCAGTGGGAAAAATTTAATTTCTGGAACTCCCATATAAAATAATTCAGTTCTGAGTGTGGTGGCTCACACCTATATCCTAGCATTTTGAGAGGCCAAGGTGAGGATTGCTTGAGCCCAGGTGTTCAAGACCAGCCTGGGCAACATAGCAAGGCCTCATCTCCACAAAATAAAATTTAAAAATTAACCGGGAATGGTGGTGCACAACTGTAGTCCCAGCTATTTGGGAGGCTGAGGCAGGAGGACCATTTGAGCCCAAGAGGTTGAGGCTGCAGTGACTTGTGATTGTGCCACTGTGCTCCAGCCTGGACTACAGAGTGAGACTCTAACTCAAAAAAAAAAAAATAGCAATAATTCAGAAAAGATTCACTTATATTTGCCAGTTGTGAAAGGAAACTATGTCTTTAGAGTTTGGATTCCCTGCCTCTTTTGATGGGGAACCCAAGAGTGTCTTGAACTTGTCTCCTTTGGGTCAAAGTACAGAAAATCTCAATACCACAAAGCTTAGGACCAATACAGTACTACATCTACTAAATTAAAATGGAAGACAGCTCAAGCCATAAAGACTTCTAACATCTATTAAAGTAATATCCTTAAGCTATTAATCGTCAACCTGTATTGGTTGTTTAAAAACTAAAAACTGGGCAACCCCCTCGGATCCCCTCCCACTATGGGAGCTTTTCTGTCCTCTCAATAAATCCTGCTTTCAAAAAAATTAAAAACATTAAAAACTTGGAAAGCAGTTTTTAGTAAGTAAAAAAGTACTCTTCTCCAGCAAGTTTTAGGTGGATTTGTCTACACTGACTAGTCTGGGATTTCCCAATGATAAAAGTAGTAACTGATTTATAATTGCATAACGGGCTACCATCTCTTCAGTGTTTAACTTCCTGTTACTGCAGCTCCACTGCAATTCATACTAATCAATTGCCGAAGAGCTGAAAGTAATGGCTGCCATGTTAAATCTACATGTACTAAAGTATTTACATGTGCAAGCCACTCTGACAATATTGTTTATCCTCACAATGACTTTTGAAAGCAATCATTATTACCCCCAATTTATAGAAAGGGAAACTGAGGCTCAGGGACCTTAAATAACTTTCCCTAGGCCACACAGCTAGAAAGTGACCGAGTCAGAACTCAAAATATCACAAGGTACAGGCAGAAAGATGCATGAGAGAGATGGATGGGGTTTTAGGATTGAACAGACCATGACAGCAGTCAATGCACACTGAGCACATGAGGTACATGGGCTCCTTCATTTTCACAGCAGTCTTTAGGGTGGGAGCCAGTAAATAGAACTAACATTTAAAGATGGAGAGACTGAGGTACAGATAGGTTAAGTCACTTCTCAAGGTCATACAGCTACTTAGAGGCAGAGCCTATTTCAAACCCAGAGGTTGTGGCTCTGAGCCTGTGCTTTTAGCGATGGTTCTGTTCAGCCTGGACGTGAAGACCTGAGTGCCTTCTCCGTTGACCTTGTAAGTTTGTCCTATGTGAGGTCTATGATGAGGACAGGAAGAACGTGGTCTCTCCTCTGTCACCCATAATTTTTGTCTCATCTAGTGGTAAAAGGAAATGATACCTACTGACCGTGGTATCCAACTTATTGGTGTTGTCCAATTCCATAAGGGAACCAAGAGAAACTGTCTTCTGCAGGGGTTTGCTTCATGGCTACAGTGGAATGTATCTCGTTTGACCTCAGTGACATGGTGAGCAAGATGAAAAGAGACCAGTTTATTTTTGGTTTGGAAAAAGGAAGCTAGCTTCTCAGTCCCCAACCAGACTGGAAGAAACTAAATTTTTCATGTTTTTAGTATATTCCTTATTCATACTCTAACCCCGGCTTCCTCCCCAATCTTAACTGATAGTTTCCTTGGGTTTTCTTCAAGTAATTTGGATGCTACTGAGAAGGGAAGAGTGAGAGATCTTGTTCCTGTCCTGATCCTTGGCCCCTGGGAGGACTCCTTGCCTCCAGATGCTCCCCACACTGTCCCTCATAGGCAGTAATAGTTCTCATTGTCCCTAACTTATAGAAAGGGAAACTGAGGCTCAGGGAGCTTAAATAACTTTCCCTAGGCCACACAGCTAGAAAGTGACCGAGCCAGAACTCAAAATATCACAAGGTACAGGCCGACAGATGGGGTGAACACAAGGCATCCTACCAGGACAGACTTCCAGGATCCCAGCCCCTCATTCACCTCTCATCTTCTAGCCTGGAGTCAGCACCAAGACAGAGATTGGGGGGGTCTCTTGTTTTAGTTCTCTTGTTCTCACTCAACTCTGCCTCTCCTGAGGCCGAACTGAAGAAACATCATCTTTGTTAACTTTTCCAAATCCCTCCCTTTACTTGATCACCACAGCCCACAGTTCTCTTTCTAGCTTGAACGCCTTTCAGATAATACACCTCTGGATAATTTTCCCTAAAGAGCAGAAAAAGCTGATGGTAGACTAAAAATGAGATCTTGCTCCTATTTCCAGCATCTCTTTCTTCTACAAGCCTCTTCACAGCCTCTTGTTTCCATGATCCTGATGGATAAAAAGAGAGACATGGAGAAATTTCACAATGACCATTCATTGAGCTCCCACCGTGAGTCAGCTGCTATGTTAGGCTCCTCACCAAACTTTGTCTTACTGGAATTTCATAGACACCCTGGAAACCACCTTCTATTGCCCCCACTGTGGAAACGTGAAAACTGAGACTGGGAGAAGTAAAATCACTTGCTGAAGATCCCAGCATTATTTGGGGAGCTCAAGTGTTTTTCACACTAGCACATCAGTCTAATTTCATGTCTTTGTAAACACTGAATGGGTGTCAAGGATGCCTGGCTTTCAAAATGCTCTGGAACTGTGCAGGGCTATTCTGAGTTATTGTGCAGAACTCCAGCCTTTCAGCAGACATGGGTTGGGAGCCAGGAATCAAGGGGGCCAGACCCGGACACCCTCCCCCACACAGCAGAAGCACCCTCCTGATGCCAAGCCCCAGGGGTGGATGTGTGTAGGCGCACACCCCAGAACGCCCTTCCCCTACTCAGATGTCAAGAAGGACAGTTCCCCCTCAGGGTTCTGGAGAGGGATCAATTGCTCTGTGGTAAGGTGAGAACCCGAAAAGTCAAGTGAAAATCAAAAGTGAGGTTTGTTTCTGAAATCTCAGTGGGGACACTTACTCCAAGGTTTTCTAGGGAAACTTAACTGAGACTGAGCTTAAATTGGGTTATTTTCAAAAAGATTTCCCTGAGTGAACCAATATTTAGCATAACTTGACTTAAAAGGACATTAGTAGCTTTCCTGGTACCAATTCCTGTAAGTACAATACCTAGAGAGGCTATCACAGACCTTAGCTGCTATGCCCCCATCCAAGTTACTAATATTGTAAATATTTTGGAGAATTATTTTAAAGAGAACTTAAAGAAGTGCCTTTTTTTTTTAAGTTCTCAGATGCTATGTGTGCATTAGGAGTTCACACAGTTCTCATAGTTTCTGATCATTAGAAAGCTGTGTTAATTCCTGCAGGCCATCTGGGAAGTCATCCTGAGAACTCTAGGAAATTACTGCAGTGTAATTTTCTGGAATTTGTTCTACCAAGAAATGACCTTTCTTTTTTTTTTTTTACTTGGAGTGTCACTCTGTCACCCAGGCTGGAGGGCAGTGGCACGCTCACAGCCACCTCAGCCACAACCTGCTGGGCTTAGGTGATCCTTCCACCTCATTCTACCAAGTAGCTGGAACTATAGGCGTGTGCTACTATATCTGGCTAAATTGTTTTGATTTATTGTAGAGATGAGGTCTCACCACGTTGCCTGGGCTGGTTTCAAACCCCTGAACTCAGGCAATCCTCTCACCCTGGCCTCCCAAAGTGCTGGGATTACAGGCTTGAGCCAGCATGCCCGGCCCAATCTTTCTTTTTAAAGTAAAGGGATCTGTGTGCTGGGAAACAGATGTGTAGCATCCCTCAGACAGATGGAGAAACCCCTATCCCAGTCGCAAAGCGCCAGGGTCCAGGCGCTTATGTCACCAAGATGTCATTCTGATGGGTTCTTTCTCCAACTCTGATTTTATTTGACTTATTTAAATCTTGCATATTTTAGCTTTGGGAGCCTTATTTCCACTGACACCATGTAGACACTCTGTGGCATAATTTTGGTTCATTTACAGATCAGAGGAATTTGAAATTCTGCTACCTCTACTGAACTCTTCTTTGTGCTTGGCTGAGATCACGCAGAAAGAGAAGGCGAAAAGAAGTGCCATTAGTTGTCTGCTCACAGCAAGCCTGCAGCGTGTGAGTGCTTCACCTGCCTTATTTGACCTCTGCCTTGCAGCATCCAGATTTTAAAAAACAAAACAAAACACAGGCACTCAGAGGTTAGGTATTCTGCCTAACTCCACTTTCTGCCACTGCATTTGAAAAATTACAGAATCATTCAACCCATTTTTAAGTGACTTTAAATTGCAGGATTGAGAATAAGCCTTTTTACTCCAGTTAGTTCCAAAGAGAAACACTTTAATAGTGAGTTGAATAAAGTTAAGATTATCCCTTAATACAGAGCAACTGCCTGTTAGGTGTTAAATTTTGTTTCCTTAGAGGTATAAGAGGAGACAGTATGGTTCCTGTTTCCTGAATGTTT